TTATCTATAAAAGAAATGAATCACCCATCCCTGACATTCTGTGACTCCCATGCCAAGCCTGCCCTACTGAGGGAACTAGGTGAGCCCTGCCCACCCCACCCAGATGCTAGGGGTAGGCCGGGGGCCATGCCACAAGACCCCCAAGGCCAGAGACCCTGGAGAGAGGCTACCTTCCACCCTGGATGTCTCAGACGTCAGTGTACAATAAATACCTGGGGAGCTCAGGAGATACCAGCAAAGCAGAGGCCTGATCCCACCCTGGAGATGGACATCATGAGTGGATCCTGGGTCAGCGCAGGTAGAGACCCCACCTAAGACTGATGGGCAATGAGGGAGCTGCAGTCCGCATCTTAAAGGACATCTAGGGGCTTAATTTACAAGAGTTTTAAACCTGGAGATAGAGGGTCTGCTGGGATATAAGATTCCAGCAAAACCAGAGTAGTAGAATATCAAGCACAGGCTCCTCCCACCTGGATGCCCCAGCAGTCAACACACCATCAATATCCACCAAGCACCCACCCACACCATAGAACAGGAGAGTCACTGCCCTCAAGGAACTCAGTGCAGGAAGTGCCAGATGACCAGCAACAGGACTTGGTAAGTGCAATGACAAAAGGGACACTCCCTCTGTGAGGAACAGGCTGGCCTGAGGACTGTGGTGTTAACCATATGAGTCAGTTTGCTTTGCCAAAGGACAAAAAATGTCCTAGCCACAGACTGTCTCCTAACCACGGCCACAGGCTAAGTCTTTGCCACAGAACAAGCCCGAATAACAGTCATAAAGGCCAGGTATACCACACACACACTGACCTCCCACACCCACCATCAGAGGGTCCCAACCCCAGTGTGAGCTTCAGGGTGACACGAGTGCTCAGCTCTGACCTTGGCCTCAGAGCTGAGGACAGAAAACCCATCCCATAGGCTGCTGCTCTGCTCTGAGCCAGCCTGGAGTTCCCCCATCAGGCCAGCCTTACCTGCGACAGCCTGTTGGGCCCTGTGCTGGCCACAACAGAGCAGGAGCAGGGATCCAGTGGACAGCCGTGGTTTTTTGAATAAATAACTATGTTAACTAATCTCTTACTTGTGCTCCAGATTCCTGATCAGTACCCCTCCCTCCTGTATCCACACACCCTCCTGGCTCCCTCCTGTCAACATTTCCACTCACTCTTCAACACAGCCCAGTCGGCTGTCCACTCCTCCCTCCCCCGAACCATTCTGAGGCATAACAGCAGCGCCACCAGGCCTCTGTGTGCCCCAGAGCATACTTGGCCTCTCTGCAACAGCCAACACAGCTGCCCATTCTTCCTTTGCAAACCGCTCCTCCCACCCAGTCTCAGCCTCCTCCAAATCAGCCTCTGACCAGGGGGCGCCCTCATGGCACCACCCCAGGAACGTCTCCTCTTCTCACTTCACCCTCTCCCTGAAGCACTCACTGCCCCTTACCCACCCCTCCATCCCAAGCTTTAATTCCCACCTCTACAAGAATGGCTCCCTCTTCTGAGTCTCAGCAGCTCACTAAAAACCCCATTTGTGTCTCAAGCATGTGGAACACAACACTTAGAACCAAAGCCTCATCCTCCCTCCCTTCTCAGAGAACAGCTGTACCATTTATCCATTGTTCGCAACCTGTGGCCACTCTTGCCTCCTATCTCTCCCCAAATCTTCCTATCTCATCAATCTACCTCCTAGAAAATCAGAGATCTGACTACTTCCAAATAACCCCACAGACCCCTCAGAGTCAGACCACCATCACCCCTCCTATCCCTGCACTGGATGCACTCAGTGACCTCGCAACCCCTCCCTGACTTTCCACTCTGCTCCTCTGACAAATCCTCCACCCAAAAGCCAGGGTGATTTTCCAAAAAGTCCCGTCATGGGGCTACTGCTCTGACTAAAATCTTCAATGACATCAATGCCCAAAATTTAGTTAAGGATAAGGCCCAAAATCAAGGCACCCGGGTGTCTCAGTGGTTGAGTGTCTGCCTTTGGCTCAGGTCGTGACCCCAGGATCCAGGACGGGGTTCCTGCATCGGGCTCCCCACAGGGAGCCTGCTTCTCCCTCTGCCTATGTCTCTGCCTCTCTCTGGGTGTCTCTCATGAATAAATAAATAAAACCTTAAAAAAAAAAAAGGCCCAAAATCTTTAACAAAACTTCTAAGGGTCTCGGTAGACGGGACAGGCAGAGTGGGTGAAGGAGGGTAGGAGGTGTGGGCTTCCAGCTATGGAACAAATCAGTCATGGGGATGAAAGGCACAGCCCAGGGAATAGTCAGTCAGTGGTGGTGTGATCGTGTCGTGTGGTGACCGACGGCAGCTATGCTTGTGATGAGCAGAGCATAACGTATAGACTTGTCCCATCGTTATGCTGTACACCTGAGTTCATGTAACATTGTGTGTCAACTATAATTTAACATAAAAAAGAAATGTTTTCAGATTATATTTTTAAAAATTGAAAAATAAAATAAAACTTCCAAGGTTGTGCCTCTTCCTCCCTCACTGTGGATGCTCTGACCGCTCTGGCTTCCCAGTCTGCCAGTGTGGCCTCCTCCCTCCTGCCCCAGGGGCCTAGGGAGCCTGCAGCAGTCAGTACTTCTGCCCACCAATTCTGAGATTCTGCACCCCTAAGAAGCTCCCAAAGAATGCAGGTACTGCTGGTCCCTTGGCCTCGAGTAGCAAGCATCTAGAACACTCTCCTCCACTCTGACTGCACCTTTGCCTAACAAGGTCCTACTCAGCTCCCAGGGCTCAGCTTCAACATCATCTCCTACGAAGTCCTACCTGACCCTCTCCAAGGTCAGGTTCGATTCCTACACACCCACCCTTTATACTGTTCCTGAGCTATACTGCCCTTCTCCTTTGGAACATTCGTCACACCTCATTGTCCCATCCTTTCTCTTAAAGTTGGTTTTTCAACTTTCACCTCCCTACTAGATGACCAACTCCAGGAGGGTGGGGACTACGATGGCTTGTTCCCTACTAATACCCTAGCACTCAGCACCAGGCCTGGCATGTGGTCAGCACTTGCGGTAGAAAGCTATTTGGTCTTGCTTGCCTTGCATCCATCTCCCCAACTTCTCCTAATGACACCTCAACTTTCCTTTGAGGAACCACCTCTCCCCCACTCTTGGTTCTTTAGGCTTAGAGAGTGGGCATGAGACCCAGGTCTGGCCAGTCAGAGCCTCCTCCTCTCCGGCCACAATGACTGGTTTAGACATAGACAGGTGACCTAAGCCAGGCCCTCAAACTTCTTCCCTGAGACTTTTGTTAGAAGTACTAGGGGAAAGATACTCTTCTTTCCACTGAAATTTACTTACAGGTAGGAGCTACTGTTACTATCCTGCCACCACAGAGACCGAGTTTGACAAAGAATGAAACCAACAGAGAGATGGAAAGAGACAGATCTCATAGATGTAGCCAGGCCTAGAGTCTACACTTGCATTACAAAGCAATAAATTCTGTTTTATGCTTACACCAAAGTGAGTTATGTTTCTGTCACTTGTAACCAAGAGCCTTGACTAATACAACATTCAAGCAAGTACTGGGTGTTGAATGAATTAAGTGAGCAAGTAAGTAAGGGGAGCCTGCCAAGAGAACTCAGCGACTCCTCCTAGGAGACTTTCAGGGTTCTCACTGCAACCTCCCACCACCCATGAGCACAGTGACAAGCACCCTACATCCAACTTTGCAGACTAAGGGGCTGAAACTCAGAATGGTGACGTGCTTCTCAGCAATCCCGTGTGTAAACAAACCACCCGGCACCTGGCTCAGACACCTGCACTGGGATCAAGCTGACAAAGGTAGTCTGGCTCTCAGTGCCCCTAAGCACCCCACCAGGAGGAAAGCAGAGCTGTCCTCAGGTCAGCCCTGTGCCCCGTGCCCCACCCACTCTCGAACTCCTAATCCAACCAGGGCAGGCTCTGACTGTCATTCCATGAGATTCTCCCTCGAGGATGCATACCACACAGCTCTCTGCATGGTGGGCATTCAATATGGGGTGATAACAGAAAGGTGGCGTTTATCTACTTCCTTCGGGGGTGGGTATCACTTTGCAACAGATTAAGTTAGGGGAGCAGGGATATGACAGAGAACAAGAGGGGAGAGATGCTTAATGATTTCCCTGTGAGTCATCCAGCAGAGCCCAAGGACAGAGATACAGGGTGGCCCAGACATCCTCTCAGATGACTCAGGAAGCAGTGACTTCTTCAGGGCTAGTCCTCACCTGGCAAACTGTGAGTGGGAAGGAGGGAAGGAGTGTCGTCACTGCTGCCTAGGCAGGAATATGGGCTGAGCCAAAGTCCTCCCTGAGAGCCAGCTCAGGCCTGTGACCAACCTGCCAGCAGGCATTTCTAGATATAGGGAGGAGGACATGGTCAGGGGAGGCGACAGCTGCTTCAGCTCCCTTCCAGGAATGAGCAGTAGGGGCCTGGGATTCTGGGAGGTGGTCTCCCAGGAAAGAGACTCATGAATGAAGTACTTCTAGGAAAGAATTACTGAACCCAGAAGCTCCAGAGCAACTCTCCCACAGAGACTGGGGTGACAGGGCCAGCCCAGGAGGGCCAGTCTGAGGCAGACAGACCAGCATGCAAGTGCCACTTTGGTCCCAAGAGGGCCCCCCCCACCCCGCCCTGGGACCCTGCCTTCCCCAGGCAGCTCTCCTGGGCAATAGCCCCTTAAGATACCAGGCTGCCATTGTTTCTCAGCCCTTCAGCTAAGACCAGCTAAAGACACCAGGCCACACTCCAAGTCTCCTCACTCACTCCTGCCTGGGCCCCTGATGCTGTACCCCACTGTTCCACAAGGCCCCATCCAGCCCCCATTATCTCCTCACCACCCGACACCCCCAAGTCTCAGTCACACTTCCCTCCTGCACTGGTGAGCTCCAGTGGATGCTGCCTCCTGAGGTGTCAGGGCACCCTATGGTACCCACCGGACGGAAGCAGCTGGCTGGGATCTCAGGGACAGCCACCTCCCCTCCCCACTTACCAATACCAAGCCTCTTACCTTCATGGTGGGAGGTGCAGTGAGAGGAGGGGACAGGGGCTGGTCTGGGAAGGTCACATCTGAGCTGTTGGCCAGCTCCTGCTTCCTGCAAAGAGAATGCAGAACAGAGGTGAGTGATGGCCTGCCTGAGCCATTCCCTCTCTCTGTCAAGAGCAGCTGGGCATGGGGACCTGGGCTAATGCACACCATCCCAAACTAGAGTGGAGCGCACTCTCTGCTGCACTGCCCTAGACCTTAAAGTGGGGCTCTTTCGCATGTGGTTCCTGCAGCAGCCACAAAGGCATCACCTGGGAACTTGTGACAAATGCAAATTCTCAGGGGCACACCAGCATCTCCAGCAATGGAGCCAAGGATTCCAGGTTTTACAACCCATCCAGATGATTCTGATGTACACTGGAGTTTGAGAACCACTGCTCTAAAGACTTGGAGGACCCACAACACCTACAGGCCTCAGAGGCATGGACAAATGTTTAAAGGCATCAAAATAAACATAACCGTTTTTACCAAAATAGCAAAGTTTGATAGGGTGGAAGATAATCAGACCCTGAAACTCTGGCAGTTACCATTCACCTTCAAGTATTTTCATTTGTCAAAACTACAGTGGTTAATAAAATATATCTATACATTTGGTAGATGTATTTCCAAACACATTTGAATTCAGGACCCCCCAAAAAAGAGAGAGACAAAAGAGGAATGAATATAAATGTTTGTGAGTCATTCTTCCTGGGTACCCTTTGCCCCCAAACACACACACACACACACACACACACACACACACACACACACACACACCATGGCCAGAGAGCTGACCTTGGGAGGATGGGGCTGCCTGCTGTGTAAGCTGCAGGTAGAACTTATTTTAGTCCATGTGGGCTAGGACCATGGAGAAGCAGCTAAACAGAGTTGTGTCACCATGACAACATGACTGCAACAAGTTCACTGCTCTCACATACTCCCCACTTTCCATCTGGCCCTCACTGGTGACCAAGGAGTGCTAGTTTGCAGTCCGATTACCAGGCAGATTGTTGGCAGTGAGATGAGCCTTTGGAGCAATGGTTATGCAACAGGGCCTGCTGGGCAGAACATGGAGGAGCCCCAGATGAGGGGCTCTGGGGTCCTGGACGTACCCTGGATATCTCCTGGGACAACAGGGAGAGGCAGGGATAACAGCATTAAGAGCCCAAGACCAGACTGAGCCATCAAGACTCCCAACTTTGAGACCCTTTCCTTCTCCAGAACCCCACCCTGAAGCAGCCGAGTCAGTATGTACCTGGGTCACACTTCAATGACCAAAAGGACCCCCACTGCACCTCAAGAGAATGCTTCTGTACTCTCCAGCCCACATCTTGCCAACAGGGATGACAGCTTTAACAGGGCTCCTTCATGAGAAAAGCCCACCCTCCCTACAGAACCCAGCCCCCTGCCTTTCCAGAAGAAGCCTTTGCTCTGTGAGCCAGACGCCACCCCAGCCTGGCTCCCCTTAGCCCACAGAGCAGGCCCAACCCAAAAGGAATCAGGCCAGGTGCTGTGAGGCCATGTCCACCCTGGCATGACTCTTGCCTATCCCTGCAACGGGCCATGCCTCACTGTCCTCTAGGCAACCAGGTAAGGAGGCTGTGTGAACATCTGGCTTGGTACAGGATCCACATGACCCCTATTAACCTCAACCTGCCAATCCCCCTTTCTTTCTTTTTTTTTTTTTATTTATTTATGATAGTCACACAGAGAGAGAGAGAGAGGCAGAGACATAGGCAGAGGGAGAAGCAGGCTCCATGCACCGGGAGCCCGACGTGGGACTCGATCCCGGGTCTCCAGGATTGCGCCCTGGGCCAAAGGCAGGCGCTAAACCGCTGCGCCACCCAGGGATCCCCAATCCCCCTTTCTGATCCTCCATTTGCCTTCCTCCTCATATCTTCCTGGACCTAGGTCTCAATCTGAGGGGGGCGGGGGGTGCCTCTCTCCAGGTCCAGACTATAACTGGCACAGTTATAATATATATATACTGGAATCAGCAGGGCCACGACTCAGCCCGTGTATATGTACACACACAAAGGGATGAACAAGAGGTTCTTCTACCTCTTAGTCAAGAACCACCACCTCCCCTTCCTTCTATGGGCTTGATTGAGGAACCTATGGCTGAACGAGGGCAGCTCCCCCCGTGGGAGTTGGGAGCCAAGGAGGAAGTGGCATGCAGGGAGGGGACAGAAGGCAAGCCCCATGCCCAAAGTCTATAGGACTGTTCAGGGGTTAGCTTAGGACCCCTGGACCACTCCTCTGGAGGAGGTGGTGACACACTTGCCTAACAGCAATCCTGGCTCTCCAGTAACACAAATCCTAGAGGAAGGCAACACTGGCAGGTTTTTACTATCACTGGTCAAGAGAGACTCATATACATAGTCACACTGTACTTCTCTCTATAAGATGCAAGGTGTCCACTCCCATGGGACCAAAGTAGATGCAATTATTACCCAAGGCCCCTGAGTCTCAGGCAAAGGGCCACCACACTCAAACCTTCCTGGGCTGAGCCCCACTTCCTTGCACCAGCTTGTTTTCCCTGGATGCTGGCATAAGATACTTGGACCAGTCTCCAGGGAGGAGTGAGGACAGTTCAGTGGGAGCATAACGTGTCTTCCAAGGCAAAAGGAGTCCCTGAATGGTGTCTGGAGCCTGGAAAGTGCTGAACAAGAATGTGGCTAGCAGCCTCATCCTTGTTCTAGGGCTCTATCCAAGACTCCGGATGGGATGCTAGGGTAGACAGAAGGCAAGAATGCTGCCCTCAAAAAGAGAACTGAGTACACACAGGCCCGTCACAAATCTATCCCACCCTGGTACACAGATGGCTTTGAGTGGCACCTGTAGGAGAAGATGGGACACACTGCTCCATCCTCATTCTCACCTCCTAGAAGCCAAAGGTACTTAATTAAGAGCCAACTGCCTGTTATGGGTTGAATCGTGTCCCCAAAATAAGATATGTTTTGTTTTGTTTTTTAAAGATTTTATTTATTTATTCATGAGAGACACAGAGAGGCAGAGACACAGGCAGAGGGAGAAGCAGGCTCCCTATGGGGAGGCCGATGCGGGACTTGATCGAGGACCCCGGGATCATGTGCTGAGCTGAAGGCAGACGCTCAACCACTGAGCCACTCAGGCATCCCCCCAAATAAGATATGTTGAAATCCTAACCCCCAGAACCCGTGAATATGTCCTTATTTGGAGATGTAATTAGAGTGGCCCCTTAATTCAATTTGCCTGGTGTCCTTGTGAGAGGCAAAGTGAGCTGTGTGAAGACACAGAAACGCAGGGAGAATGCCATGCAGCAGCAGAGGCACAGATAGGAGTGACACAGCTGGAAATCAAGGGTGGCCAGCCACCGCTGGGAGCTACAAGACACAAGGAAGGGTTCTACCCCAGGGCCTCCAGGACAAGCAGGCCCTGTTGCCACCTTGGTTTTGGACTTCTAGCTAGAACGGAGGCCACAAATGTCTGCTGATTTAAGCTGCCAGTGTGGTGGCAGACCTCAGAAGCAAGTGCCCTGCCCAAGTCCCAGGCTCTAGCCTTGCCTTTGTCAGCAGAGGGCCCAAAACAAAGACAATGACATCCTTGCTTCTGCCCTACCACCCCTGCCACTGCCAGCTGGGCTCAATCTCACCCTGTCCCGACCCTCACAACCCTTGACATTGGTGGGTGGGAGCCACCTTCCCAGGGACAGCTGGCCAGGCCACCAGCAGCTGGCCAGGCCACTCTGCTGGCGCTAAGCAGAGTAAGAATGTGGGTGCTCAATGTCATTCCAGCCCCTTCTCAGACAGACAAATCACACGTGAGGAGGTGAAAGTGACATGATTATCCCAAGAAATAACCTTGGAGCTGCTCTTATTTATTATAAGCAAAAGGTAAATTATTAGCAGAGGTGGCACCCTTAGTATTATCTATAACAACTTTCTTGAGACCCATAGCAATCTTTAAACAGTCATGGCACTGAGTCTGAAACTGCCTCCCCAGCCAAATCTCATACACAGCTCTCAGGACTGGGGTCCCAGACCCACACAGGGACCCATAAGATGAGGGGAGAGGGGAGCAGAGAGAAGGTAGAGGAGGAAAGAGGAAGATCATACACTCTGCTATAAGAAAAAGGTAGTAAGAACAGGCATGGATGGGCAGGTCAGGGGCCTCCTCCAGCCTCTGGGTGTCATAGGTGTGTGACCCCCTCAGCATCCCTCTGCCCCAGAACCACCTAGCACTGAGGTTCTCTGCTCTGGGATTCCTTCTCCAGAAACATGGACAAACCTGGGGCAGCTGGGAAAGGGCCCAGCTGGCTTTAACCAAATGCAAATCTCAAGAAGAAATGATTGAGGAACCCATGGTGAAAGCTGAGAAAGCCAGGGGATGGTTCACCCAGATGGAACTATTCATAGTGCACTGGATAGACCCCAGTGAGGGCCCTACTTACAGCACCCAGGCCTCCAGCTCCTCTCCTCCAGCCTCAGATTTTTCTGCCCTAGACCATCTGTGGTCATCTCCCCCATGCTTTTATGAAAGTGCCCAACGCTAGAAGGGGTTCCAGTCTGGTTCTGCCTGCTACCCTCACTGCGTGTCCTTGGGTAAGTTACCTCACCTCTCTGCGTCCCACTTCCTTCATCTTCAAAGATGGGGGTGATGATGTTCTGAGGAATTATATGTAATGGCTGTTAAATAAAATATAAAGTCCCATACAAATAGAGATCATTATGATCATTATCATCTTCATTGTTACTATAACTCCTAAAATGGTGCTCAAATCTCCAAGTGGATGGAAGAAAGACAGTCTCTTCAATAAATGGTGCTGGGAAAATTGGTCATCCACATGCAGAAGAATGAAACTAGACCACTCTCTTGCACCATACACAAAGATAAACTCAAAATGGATGAAAGATTTAAATGTGAGACAAGACTCCATCCAAATCCTAGAGGAGAACACAGGCAACACCCTTTTTGAACTTGGCCACAGTAACTTCTTGCAAGATACATCCACGAAAACAAAAGAAACAAAAGCAAAAATGAACTATTGGGACTTCATCAAGATAAGAAGCTTTTGCACAGCAAAGGATA